CCCCCACCCCTTTTCTTTTAATATTCTCCAAAAGGCTGAAAGACCAGAACCACAACTCTCGGGTGCCTTTCTTTGGAAATATTTGCTCTCTCTTCTGTGAAGAGAATGATTCTTACGACTCTACTACTAGTGCTTTGTCAGTACCGGTCTGAATGCCCATTCTGATGGCGTACATTATCCTTAAGATTTTTAATCCCGCCTGGAATTGTGATAGAACTCTCACAAAATAAACCCAGGGCATTACATGTTGACAGAGAAAGTGTGTGGTGTGTTATACTAATTTCATTTTATGAATTTATTTATTCTGAGAGAATGTGACACAGTTGAGCATGCTTGTTTTAAATTAAAATATTTTAAAAGTAATGCAGTAAATGAATTAATGGGGCTCACTGATCAATGGCTTCCATTGTCCATAGGGACTGTTGAGAGTTGTTGAACAAATCAAAATGGGACAAAGAACTGATCTGCTTTGGGTCCTAAGACTTCGCTTCGAAGTGGAGTGAAGCATTGGGTAAATCATGCTTGGTACAAAAAGCCAAAGCAGAAAAAAAATGTATGTATGTGCTTTTGCAAAAAAATTCCAGAATCTTTCAAATTCATGTTTACAAAAATATAAAAATAAAGTTACAGATCATTGCAGACAGAATATCTGTCAGGTGGACTATGGTTGCCATAAAAAATAAGGTTTCATTGAACAATTATTGAGCACAAAATAATGGAAATAAAAAAATTGATTGTCAAGCTTTTCAGGCAGAATACATAATAATCCTTTACATTATTAATTTTGGCAAGTTGCTTTTATCTCCCTAGTAATTATATCAATACAGAAGTAAATTATGATTTGGGGAACATCTGGATGAAAGTAGTTTTCCTAGAATTGGAGAGATTCTGGTTCTGAGTTTTGGTTCTGAGAACTCCAGCATTTTTAAGAGAGAGAATATCCCCATCATCTGAATAAGAAAGAAAGAGAGTATGGGTTCTAGGTCCATCTTAGCTGTGAAAGCGAGGTTGATGACTTTTGGCCAGTCACTCTTGGCCCAATTCACCTTATGGGGTGGGTTGTGGGAAAAATAGAAGGAAGATACATTGGATATGCTCCCAGTCATGAGTTTGCAAAAATAATAAAAGCAGGATACAAATAAAAGTAAAATCAATAAATTTGTATTGGCATTTGAAAGAACATGGTTCAATATATACTGGCGGCCTTTTTTTCATTGAAAGTGCTAATGAGTCTGTAAACATGATATTTTGATGTCTTTCCCTTTCCAATTAGCAAAGAAACTAAAGAGGATAAAATAATGGAATAGTTAGTTTTTAGGACTCTTCAGCATCTGGAAGAAGACACAATAGTTTTAATTTCATTCACAGATACTTGATGATTTAAAAAAATCACCCAAACGGTGAATATTGTCAGATGCCAAATCTGAGAAGCTACAGAATTACCTTTTACTGTGGCCACAATTTTTGGGTTGTAGTTATTTCCATTTTGTAAATTGATGTTCCTTTTGCACTGTCTGTATTTTCCCTTTAATACAATGCAAATCTACAAAATGACACATTCTTAGCGGTGCTGAAAAACAAAGTTATAATTTCTTTAAAATAATTATAATCTTATCTAATTAATGTGGTGCAAAACTGAAACATTAATAGTCAAGGAACTGATAATGACATCATATCACAAGCATAGTTCAACTCCTTGGGTTTTCAAGTAGTTCCTAATCCTTGGCGGGGAAACTACAAAGTGGCTGCTTGAAACAGTTATTAGACTTGAACTATTAAAAGTTTGGTTTAGCATTACACTTCTTGGCATATGGCTCATCAAAAGTTGGATAGAGTTTTGCTAGTGCAGAAGTCAGCAACCTTAAACACTCAAAGAGCCATTTGGATCCATTTCCCACAGAAAAGGAAACACCAGGAGTCACAAAATCTACCAGGGGTTGAAAAGCTTAATAAATTGCGTACCGGTGGGTGTCGCACATTGGCAGTTGTGACACATTTTGAGCGACAGAGCTGCAGCAAAGAGATGAAAGAACCACATGTGGTTCCAGAGCCGTGGTTTGCTGACCCTGTCCTAGTGGGTATGATTGCCGAATCTCTGGTTCTTTGTGCAACTAAAATTGCCAGTTTCCAAAATCTGGAAATACCTTAGTATCTTTTAGCACACTAGTCTAAGCAACACAACTGTGCTATAGTTTAAAACATGAAAAAAAGTAATAAATGTCCTTGCTGTGATCTCCGTCCCAGAATCTATGCAGAAACCTGATATATCCTTATATTAAGACTTCTGCACTTTAATTATTATATAAAGTGATATTAGATTTGTATCTTTTTTGCTCTTTCCTGTCTACCCCTTTGATCTCTGCAGGAAGTTATCATCATCAAAGGTGACACACAATGTCTACCTGAACAACTTTGTTACATAGTTTTCAGAGGCAGTGTAAGAATTGGTGTGCTCTTCCACAACCTCTGGTGCTTTTGAAAGTCACACAGAATGAGGCATACTTTACATTGAGGAGCTGAAGGAAAAGTTCAGCTCTAAAGGACAAATGGCTATGGCAGAAGCTGGATCCTAAAGGAAATCAGACAGAAACAAAAAGATTTCCAAGGATCCTGCTTCTGTCACAGCCAGCTGTTTACTGCATGTGTTGTGCTCTTGTCACTTTTTCTTCTGAGGTGAACTTTTTCTTCAAATTCTCAAAACTCAAGCAAACTGCAGAAACATTTTCTTTGCTTCCTTTCCTCTGTTCTTCAACCTGGCAGTCACTCATTAAGGTAAGTAACTTACAGTTTTTTTCATCCTCTTTTCAGGCATGCAATAAAGTTAGCAAATTAAGTGGTTGGAAGGGATCAATATTGAAACAAAGACTGAGAACAAGTCTATCCCTCCCAGCTTTTTTGTTCCATTGAAGAAATGTGGGTTTCTGGAGAGTAAGCAATGGAAAGATTTGGAGAAGCTGCCATCTTTGCATTCAAGTGGCTGGTTTTCCAAAATCTAGCAAGAGTCAGGAGTAATTTGCAATCTTCTAAGCAGAGTAAGCTACCATCCTTCCATGCAAGTGGTTGGCTATCCTAAAACCAGGGGTGCCAAACTAATGTCACAGTGGCATTACATGATATATTGGAACTTTTCCCCCACCCCCTTCACTAAACCAGGTGTGGCCATGCCCAGCACGTAATGCATCCAGGCCAGGAGTTTAATAGCTCTGCCTAAAACCCAAGGGGAGCTAGGAGATGTTTGCAGTCTCCTGACAGCCAGATGATTAGGGCAGAAAGCTCTAAAAACAGCTGTCATTTTTGCAAGGAATTGTCAGAGCACTGAAAATAGTGGCTACTTCAAGGGGGCATGGGGAGTAGAGCCAAACACTGGGTTCCCAGCAAAGTGGGACGTGAATAGAGAGATGGTGCTGTAGCATCCATGTGGCCATTCACAAGAGTGAATAACCATAGAGGTGATGCAGCCTCTTTGAAATGGGGTTGTGTGTATTTGGGGGGGGGGGATTTCTGCTGTAACTTTGGCCATTAAGTGACAGGTATCTTAAGGATTACCTATAATCAATCTTGCCTTCAATGTATACTCTGTAATTTTTCTTTAAAAAAAAACAGAGAAATCAGGGAAACAAAGATTATGACAACAGTTACAGATGGACATGAGATGTTTAATATCAAGGAGAAAATTGGTTTAGTTCAGGATCCAAAATTGTTCATTATGGCAGTTCTACTCCTGAAATCAAATGCAGGATAACCTTAGCCCTCATCACAGTGGTTAACATAAATAAGATCTGCAAAAGCAGAGGTATTGATATAAATACAAAAAGTAGGCTAATTAGAGCAAAATGGGTATGAGAATTGGACACTAAAAATGGCTGGCTGAAGAAGAATTGACATCTTTGACCTATGCTGCCAGTGTAAATTACTGCATATACTAGTAATTTACCAGTAACAGCTAGAGCAACTAATGGGTTTAGATTGTATAAAACTACACACATTACTGGAAGCTAAAATCAGACTATGTCTTGGTTTATTTTGTCCATGGTATGTGTAGAAATTCATTAGAGAAGGCAATGATACTAGGAATGGTTAGTGGACAAAGAAGAAGGAGCAAGCAAAGAGTATGCCGGCTTGATAATATCAAATCTGATACAAAGTTGAACATCCAAATAAGATGTGATTTACAGGATAGCATGGGGAACATTTTCCTATAAAGTCACCCAGAGTTGAACATGATTAAAATGGTTAAAAACAAGCTTGTAAGAAAGACTTTTCTTGTTAAAGTTTCTATCTTTTTTTGCCCTACTTTTTAATGCCGATAGCTTGCAAACCTCTTTCTTATTGCCTGATGGTTCATCCAGTCTCTCTTCTGAAGATCCTGTTTTAAAAGTTGCTTGGATTTTTCACAATATTTCTTAAGTTTTCCTTTTGTTCCCCAAGTTCACATAATAGCAACAGCATTTAGATTCATATACTGGTTCACAGTGCTTTTCAGCCACCACTAAGCAGTTTACAAAGTCAGTGTATTGCCCTCAACAATCTGGATCCTCATTTTACCCACTTCGGAAGGATGGAAGGCTGAGTCAACCGGCAGTCAGCAGAAGTAGCCTACACTACTGCATTCTATCTTCTGCTCATAAATTAATGTATGGAATCTTTATACTGATTTCATATTCTGCATATTTCTGGCATACTGTTAACTACCACTACTACCATCTTTTTAAGTTGTTGTTTTTTTAATTTAACCTACTTGATACCATTAAATATCCTGGCAAATTAAATTGCTTTTCTCTACTATGCTTAATGCATAATCTCTCTGATTTCAGTGCTATTCATCCACTTTCAATATGTCTATATGTAAAGTCTGCCTTTGTGTTATTTGAAACAAGTGTTAGTAATAAATGAAAATTTTCTTTTCCAAAATTACAGTATGTAAATTTCTATCTGCATTATTGTAATATCCAATCAAGTTCTTCCTGTAATTCTTAGGCTATTACTGTATATTTATCTCTTTCTTTTTTTCATTGCCATCTTCTATTTGTCACAATATTGCATTCAGCAAATTTTGTAACTTGCCAAAAAATTCCTCAGTATTTTCCACCATGGATCCACAGGAGGGACATAACCCCATAGAGCACTGATATTCTCTAAGATCTACTGATTTTGATAGATATGAATATATTGTTTATTTGGTTATAGCAGGGTATATACTATATTTTTCAGACTATAAGACACTGAAGAGGTAATTTTTTTTAAAAAAGGTTTTGCCTTCCCTGGCCCCCAGGAGCACTCTGCAGGCCTCCCAAACCCTCTGTATGCCCTGTTTTTTGCGAAAAAGGGGCATGAAGAGAGTTTGAATGGCCTGCAAAGTGCTCCTGGGGGCCAAGGAAGCCAAAAATGTGATGAGTGATGGGTTTGAGAGGCAAAAACAGGCCTGTTTTTCACAAAAATGGGGCATGCAGAGGTGTAGGAGACCTGCAGAGTGCTCCAGGGGACTTGGGAAGGCAAAAAAAAGCCCTGGTTTTATGACAAATGGGCCCATTCTTCACTCCTTTTTGTCCTCCATAGCCCCCAGGACCACTTTGCAGGCCTCCCAAACCCTCTGCGTGTCCAGTTTTGTGAAAAAAAAGGGATGTGTGAGGTGGGGTTTCAAGAGGCCAAAAATGCTGTATTCAGTGTATAAGACGCACCCAGATTTTCATCCTCTTTTTTTGGGGGGGAGGAAAGGTGCATCTTATACTCCAAAAAATGCAGTACTTAATTATATCATTTTTGAGTTATCACTGCCAATCTTACTTCTTACTGTGCCATACATTGAATCATTATGTGACTATCTGATTTAAAGGTGTCCATTCCTATCTATCTGTTACATTTAAGTTTTTCTTTCGTCAATTTCTATAATGTCTCTATCTGTATAAGAGGAAAATGAAAGCTTGTTTTCTGAAGCTTCTAATCATAGAATCATAGAGTTGGAAGGGACCTAATGGTAATCACTTGCAATCTCTTGCACTATTCCATACCTATCAACCAGAGGTGGGTTTCAGCCGGCATGCACCAGTACGCTTGTACCAGTTTGAAGAATTTAGTGTGCTTTCCTGTACCTGGGCTTCCAGAACAGTCCCTCCCCTGGCCTGCCCCCCCCCCCATTCTCTGTTCCCGCCCTCCCACTCACTCTCTCACCCCGCCTATCCGCATGAGGCTTGCCCCACCCTCCCACTTTCTTTGCCAGAGCGAAGGATTCGGCTGTTGGAGGGAGGAAAAACACAGAAGCTGCTGCTGCCACCACCACCTAAGCCCTCCCAGGAGCTGAACAGAGCAGGAGCCCTGAAAATGAAACCTCTCTCCTTTCCAGTCATCGCTGCCCATTGGCCCAATTCCCCAATGCAATTTGTGGAGCTGCTTGCCCTCATGAAAACACGGGGGTGGCTTTCAATTTCAGGCTTTCAATACTTATGGCTATAGATAGGAAGACTGGGGCATCTCGGGAGTGAAGCCTTTGGTGCCAAGTGCCAAGTTCCCTTCTGCCCCCATGAAAATCACCACCCAACCCACTCACCCAGTTAAATGTGCTCAGGATGATAGGGTTAGTTTTAAATGGATAGTGTGCCTTATTTGCCAGCCTCCCAGTTGGCAAAACAGAAATTTTCGCCAACTGAAAGGGATGTGTGTGTGTGTAAGAGAGAGGGGAGAGAGAGAGAAAGAAAAAGGATAGAGAAAGAAAGAAAGAGGGAGAGAGAGAGAGAAGAAAGAAAAAAGGAAGAACAAAGGAAGGAAGGAAAAGGAAAGAAGGGTAGAAAGAAAGAGAGAAAGAGAGATGAAAGAAAGAAAGAAAGAAAGAAAGAAAGAAAGAAAGAAAGAACGAATGAACATGATCACAATTGAGCCCAAAATTTTGTTTGCTAAGCAAGAGCGTTGTTAAGTAAATTTCACAACTTTTCCAAGTTGGCCACACCCACCAAGCCCCTCCCACGTGGTCCTATGACCACCAAGCCACTCCCACAAAACAGACCACACCTACAGAATAGGTTCTAAAAAAAATTGAAACCCACCACTGCTATCAACTGATTGAACCAACCTCTGAAAATCTCCAGGGAAAGCAATTAATCCATGCAGATAATCCACAGACTGACAACTCTTGCTGTCTAGAAACAATACTTAAAATCCAACCTGTAACTATATCCTTGTAGTTTCATCCCATTCATCCTAATCTTATCCTCCGGAGCAAGCAAAAATAAGTCTCGCTTCTCAAAGTGTACTAGTGAGCCCCTAAGTATTTGGAGAAAGCTCTCGTGTTCCCTTCTCAATCTTCTCTTCTGCAAGCTAAACATATCTAGGTCTTTTAAAGATTTGATCCCCAATGTTTTCACTACATTGATAAACCTCGACTTGAAGTAGATTACTGTCTTTTCTAAATTGAAGCATACAAAATAGTACATGTGAAGCCTGATCAAGGAAGATTAGAGCAAGATAATTCCCATGATCTGCACTCTACACCCCTCCTGATTCTCTTTAAGATGTCTTTCACCTTCTTTAAAACTGTATTACACTCTTAGATCATATTCTAGAAAAGTTTTAATTAATATGTGCATCCTCTGCAAAATTGTGACTCATGACTTGCCACCAAGGTAAGTCTTGCCACCAAGTGGCTTGTGTAAGCCACTCTTTGTTACATCCCCTAAAATTCTAACTCACAAGGAACCCAAACCATTCTTTGTTGCACATTCTGAAATTTCATCTCATACTCCTTGGCTATGTAGATACTTCAGGTTGGGTATCCCTGCAGCATACCCAAGTTCTTTTCATTGTCATGATTTTGAAATTTATGCTCAGTAGCTGTGCAAAGCATTAAACAAATACTTTTCTCTGAAGTGTTAAAATAACTACATCCTTCCCAACATGGCTTTGAAAACTGTCATTGATTGTGTCTGCAAATGACTTAAGATATTGGAGGAAATGGTGCATAGAAAAAGGAAGATACAAGACAATGCACAAACTACTGATGACATTAAGTTCATTTGTCAGAATAAGTTTTTATTGTGACCTCCAAGTCCCCTGAGGATTTTAGCTTTGACTAATGTAAAGACAAGCAGAGAAGCTATCTTCCACTTTCTGTACATCTTTTTAAAGTCATCAGATTGTTAATGTTTTTATTTAACTGTATAGGACTAAAACTTCCCTGCCAAAATGAAATAATTTGGGGGTGGGGTGTAGAGACAACAAAAAGGTAAAGGTTCCCTTTGCACACATGTGCTAGTCATTCTCGACTCTAGGGGACTCTAGGGAGCGGTGCTCAACTTCGTTTCAAAGCCAAAGAGCCAGCATTGTCCGAAGACTTCTCCGTGGTCATGTGGCGGGCATGACTAAACAGTGAAGGTGCAGGGAGCGTTGTTACCTTCCCACCAAAGGTGGTCCCTATTTTTCTATTTCCATTTTTACATGCTTTCAAACTACTAGGTTGGCAGAAGCTGGGACAGGAGCTCACTCCATTACGTGGTGCTAGGGATTCAAACGCCAAACTGCTGACTTTTCTGATTGACAAGCTCAGAGAAATGACAATAACCATCCTCAAAACTTTCAAATTAATATATTTTAATAATTTAATAATTTAATAATTCTTGCAGAACTATAATTATCAGTTCTCATGTACTTTCCTCCTACTTTTA